CGGGCCCCTGCTCTTGCCGGAGCGTACAAACCCGGCAATCGCGCACGGAAGCACTCTCGTGGACGGGCGTTTGGCTTGTTATGGAGGAAGGACTGTGTGAATCAAACTCATTTCTGGGTCACTGCTGCCACAGGGGGGAGCACTTTAATCCCTTGCCAAAACGAGAGGGTGGGGATGGGAGGGCGGAGGGAGCGCGCGGGGAGCCCGCGGCTGGGGGCTGCGGCCGCGTTAACTCTTGGCGGCCCTCGCCGCGGCCGCTCTGGCCTGCGTCCGCGGGGCTCGCAAAGGGCGGCACTGGTCAGCTCTTTAAAACCCCTTCCTTCACCTACCCTTGGGAGCCCAGGAATTCTTGCGGTGTCTGCAGGCAGGGAGGTGGGTTTTTAAATTATCCCCTTCTAACTGCTAGGTCGGTTCCAACTCTCGTCAGACGTCTAGAAATGGATTCTTTCAAATTAGTTTTAAATTACATAGATTAAAAATGTGGCTATTAGGGCGTGTAATTTGGGTGAAAGTTTTTATTTTTAGGCTAAATGGCAAAATAGTTCTTTTGTAGTAAGAGTTTAAGGGAGTCGCGGATAAAATTACATTTTTAAATACAGATAATCCAATTCTGGAGCCTGAACATCATCTTCATCTAAGTTTCTATCGAACTGATTTATAATTGCAAATGAGCATTAAACCATTAGAAGATAGTGATTATTTGTAAATTGACACTGTCTTTATGTTACACAGTACTAAAGAACGGGACATCTTCCAAATATGAAGATTGAGCCCAATGATGAAACTGGAATTGAAAACTAATAAAAAAAATCTGTCATCAGAGATTCATTTGGAGGATATTTATATGTAAAAATGAGCGGTTACTGATTTTACACAATACAAACTGGCATTCCATATGGAGGGTAACATATTTATTTCATAGATCCTCTAAGGAAATACAGACGTATGTGACATTGGGCTTCAAAAGGGGAAAGTACAGATTAAAACTCCCATTCAGTAAATAAGAACAGTGACCACTAATTACAAAATTGAATATTGAACCCTAAAGGCACACTTATCCCCTGGAAGAATTCTTCTGAATATACCGGGTTTGATTTCACACAATCACACACAACAACCCATCCATCCACATTCAGCATATTATGTGATAAATGCGGCAAAACAAAACTAATTCAGCCTTTCAATGACTTTTCAGAAACCTAAGTAAGCCAAGTAAATCTTTATATGTCCTCTTTCTTCCTCTTCTGTTTCACTAATGAAGAATATACAGACCAGTCCTATTCACGTGCTCACTTAATCCTGTTCAAAGAAATCACAAGTGTAAAGCATTGTTACCTGTCATTACTATTATTAGTATTGCACTACAGTTATTGTTATTTTCATTGGTTCACTTTACATATACTCTGTAAAAGTAAGAGGACACAGGCTTCATAGCCAGACAGACCCTGGGTTGGGTGGAGCTCTACTGGTTACCAGCTTGGGTAAATTATGGAACTCCTCTGAGCCTTAGATCCTTTCTGGGTAATAGAATGAGGTTAAGAGCTGGTTCCTAACCTGAAGTATTAAGAGGAATGAGCTAACTCCATAAAAGTGTGGGAGCACAGACCCTGGCAGTAGGAGGTTATCCATTTTGTCAGCCATTGCTCCCATATCTCTCTCTTGATCTTCTCTCTATGGAAAATTGCAACTTTTCTAAATTCCAGCCAGCCTTACTTCACTCATTCTCCTTTAAAAAATGTTTTGATCACATTTGCGACTTACTGGTGTTTTGTTTTGTTTTGTTTTTCTTTTCTTTTCTTAGTCCCATCCCTGAAACATCAGGCAGCAAAATAAAAGTATTGAAAAGATGGATGATAAAAATAAAGAGGTAAATGGCACACAAACTCCTCATGTTGATACACTGATCAGGACTGAAGGTCCCACAAACATCCTCTCAAATATGCCATGGCTTCTGCATACTGATCAATGAAGGCAGAGCCATGTGCTATAAATAGTCCGGACCAGAAGTCAGGACACTCTTACCAGCTCACAATATGAGTCTGGACAAATCCCACTGGGCCTTAGTCTCCCCACTGAGATGATAGCAAAGATAATATCTAAGGTTCCTTTCCTCTTTTAACATTCAGTAATTTCTGATTGTTTTTACCAAGCTTAAAAAAGTGATGATTATTTGAAGAAATAGAGGACAACTTGAATTCATAAGGAACATACAAAAATATTGTTAATGATCAGCAGTTGACATTTCTTAAATAATAGGTGTCTTTTGCCATCAGACCACAAAGGAAACTTTTATACCACCTATTTCTAAAATGGGAAAGGCAATGACATGGTTTGCCTTGTGGCAGCACAGATAGTACAGTCTAGAATAAGAAGTACTAAGCTGGCAATTAGGAAAACGAGTTTCTAATTCCGCTCTGGCACTTACTGTCTTACCTTGTCAAATCATTCAGGATTGCCATTTCCTAGTATCTGGGAACGTTCTGTTAATTCACACTTTATTATCAGGGATGAAAGAACATTCGAGAAAATACCTACAAAGTAGTCAGTGTAGTTGAAACATCAAGATTGTCGTCTTTCCTGATCTGATCAGTGTTCATGTGATAATTACAGTTCTATATATCCCATGCATTCTGCTGTAGTCATATACAGTTTAATTATTTTTCTGCATAATAATGGAGATTTGTGAAATAAAAATTTGGATATTTATTTGGATATTCCTGATTTTGAAGCCATACATCATTAAACCTCTGAATGTTTCCTTAATCATTTCATTTCATTTACTTCTCTGTAGGTAAAGAAATAAAAGGCCTTGACAAAAGATTCAGAATTGTTCATTTTTGAGTTGAAGTTAAAGTCCTGCATTATCTCATTCCTTTAGGGTAATGAGCAAGAAATTCTCACTGGCAGATACCATTACAAGTTGGTAACATTACAACACAGAGAGAATTTTTTGTCACACAAGGGCTCTCCTAGATAAAATGGGTTTTGTTCTAAAAGTTTATTTGTACTGTATGTACTTTGTAATTTTGATTTTGTGCCCAAAATATACCTTGTTATAGAGGGCTTAGGTTGTTAAGTCCTTTTTAAAAAATAATTTAATAACTAAATGACAAAAAGAACTTTTTATTAACTTTTTAGAAGTATGTTATGGGGGGGAATCTAATTCAAAGAGAAATAAGTACATATAATTTGGAACAAGAAAAGATGAAAATTATGTTTAACACCTGTCTTGAACCCCTTGAGAAGAAACAGGAGGTAATAGGTAAGAGATTAGGAATAGAGTTCCCCGTCCAACCAATTGATGATGTCACCAGTCCTGAATGAACTTGTAGCCCCTCTAGATAGGTCATTACAACCTTCAAATATGTGTCAATACCAACTAAATTTTTTTCTCTCAAGGTTCTTTCTTCCTTTTCTTTTTGTTTTGTTTTGCTTTCTTTTGATTTTGGTCACTTTATTTTTGTTGATTTTTATACTTTTAAAGCAAGTTTTAAGATGTCAAAGAGAAACAAGTCTGAAACGGGACAAGAGAAGATCATTTAATTCAGCTAGATGGAAACGTCCAACACTGAGAAGGTGTAAAATAAGAAAATCTCTTCTCTAATCATGAAAAGAATACATGATAGTGGAGGGAATTTTGCAAATTTAGAAAAATGAAAGAAAGTAATAAAACTCAACCACAAAGATAACTATTATAAACATTGCCACATATTTTTTAGTCATTTTTCTATGTATTTTTAATAAAATTGGAATGACGCCACACATTCTATTTTCCAATCTTCCTTTTCACTTACATCTTTCACTTTTTCATTTTGGTATTGTATTTTTTCAGGTAACATTCATTAATTTCAGGTATTTGACCACCTCCATACCATACCTTCCTCTACAGGCCACTTCAACTATGTATTTTCATAGCTACTCCCTGGACTTTGTCAACTACTTGGAAATTTCTACTATCTTTATTATCAAACTCAAATATTTCCCATTTTGACCACTGCCTTGAGACTTCCAAAGCCTATACATCCCATCCCACCTTTCTCTTTATCTGAAAATTCACTCTAAATCTGCCCCTTCAGCCTTCATTTCTTCCTAGGAGCAGAGCAAGGGGTGTTAGCTCAAAATGCCCTCTCTAACTGCAGCACCTGAGAACCTGTCAGAGATGCATTATTTCCAGCCCCAGACCTACTAAATCAGAAAGTGGGATCCAGCAATCAGTTTTAACACATCTTCCAGGTAGTGTTCAGATCCACATTCAAGTTAGAAAACCACTGGTGTAGGTGTTATTCCCACCCACTTACACTCCTACTGTTTTCTGAACTTTCTTGTTTAATTGTCCTTCATTCATCAAATATTTATTATGCAATTATTATGTTCCAGGCACAGGGGTAGGTACAGGAGACGAAACGACAGGTAAGCAGGCGAGTAGGCCTATTCTTTGCCCACAG